CACAGTCCCAAGAGACCTCTGGTATGTAACGTAGAAAGAAAACCATGTGTGCTAAACATGCAGCTAGGAGGACAAAGAAGGCAGAAGGTTGAGGGACCTGGTTCCTAGTCAACCCATCTGCTTTGCTTGAACTCCCTCCAGCACTTCTCTTCCCATTCTGACTTTCACGCAGTGCTGCCAAGTAGACCCTTGGGGCTTCTCTGAAGGCAGGGCCTGGCATCTCAGACAGGGTTTGACTTCATTCACCTCCTTGGAATGCTCTTCCTACCTGCTTCCTTGCACAGCCCACCACCAGGATGGATCTACAAAGAAGTTAATTTTTTTTTCCCCACCAAGTCTTTCGACCAGACTCCATTTCACCTGAGTGGCATCTTCGGTATTGGGGACATCCTTGCACCCAAGGGCCAGGAAAGCAGTTTGTAAAGACCTTTGGGGAATACTCTTAATGATGGTCATTAGGTCTTACAAAGATAAATGGATTTAATGAGCTGAGACAGGAGTGGGTCAAAAGATGGAGGCACATCCAAGGGGATGGGAGGCCATGCATGTCGCCCAGACAGGCAAAACGCAGCCAGGGAGAAGGGCTGACGAGTGCTATGGATGGGGAAGAACAGATGGAGTATAAATAATTTGGCAGTCTGCAAACTACACGGCAACTTGTGGGTTATTAAAGCACAGCGTGCACCATGAAGGCCAGCCAAGCCATTGGTGCATGAAGGAGCTGGGGATTGCTAATGCTTGAATTTGGCTTCCACATGAAACCAAAAGCACGGCTGCTTTAACCTGCTGCATCAGCATGTGCCCACCCATTATGGGGGCTGAAGACAGAAAAACCCAGTTGGACTTCAAGTCCATTCATCCACTCAAGTCAGGATTGTCTGGGACAGATAGTCAAGGGCAGGAAAGTAGCCCTTGAGCCCCTGAGTATCTCTTCCTTGCACTGAAACTTCTCTGTAAGACCAAAAACCAGAATAAAACACCATAAAACAGACAAATAAATTATTACTTTTTGAGAGATGTTGTTCTTAAAAAAGAAAAAGTCATAATCTTGAAAAAATAGCCCATCTTAATCTCATACTTAATTCCATAAATGTGCAGTTCAGCAGATGATGGAAAACAAACAAACAGATGCATTTGGGAGGGGGAAAATAGGTTCTGTTCAGTATTTCTCGTTTTAGTTTTCAATATGAAGAAGAACCACCCAGTCTGGTGATGGTTGTTCCCTTCACCATCCTCCGTAAGAGAGAACTGTCCCAGATGATTCCTTCCATCCCATTATTTTTATTTTATTTTTATTTTTATTTTTATTTTTATTATCAATTAATACCATTAATGATCAATTAATCATTAATTGATAATTAATAATTAATACTGGGCTGGGGATAGTGCAGAGTAACAGGGTAACACGTGTTGCTTGCCAGAGATAATCATTTCAAGTGGTTAAAAAAACAAACAAACAAAAAAATAAACAAAAACACTTGAACAATTTTGGGTGGAGACAAGAGGAATGGGACCAAAAGCTATAAACCAGGAATCGGCCCTTGATAATCCCTTTCTCTCCTGAGCATCTGTGCTCTTCAAGAAGTTGAGCACAGCCCAGGTTAGGGATGCGGCTCCATCCAACCTAGCCAACAGGAACGACTTTATGATGGGGAATTGCGAATAGGATGCCCATATGCAATATCCACAGAGAGGTGACAGGTAGCCCAATTCCTGGGCAGGATTTAGCTGCCCAAACAGAGGTGTTTGGGTGAGCTGAGAGACACCCAGGGATCCAAACCTGCACAGGGCCCACCGATATGGCACAGGAGGCCAGGGAGCACTTACTGGGGTGTCAGAGAAGATCCCCAGGACACTAATCCACCTCTGCCTGTGAAACTGAATCCCATGATCTATATCCAGCCTTCATCTTAACCAAATTACAGGGATTTAAGTCTAAAAAGCACTTTTATTCATAAATATTAAAAGGTGCTGTGGTTGCAGTCTGGCTTCCTGCTGCAAGGCCTCTCCTTAGAAAGCATCACTGAAGCAAACTCCGGTGTCACACAGCTTTAAAACTGGCCTCAGTGGCAGTCCATCCACCTTCGTTCACACCCAAAGCCTTGGCCATTTTCTCAGCTCTGAAGCCCGACCCGTTTGTGACTGGCATTCAGCCAAGCATGGGGATCCCTACAGCACCCTGAAACCGAAGCAGGAACAGCAAAGGACACATTTCCCTAGGTTGCAGATTTTTGGAAAGATTTCTGCTCCTAAACTATGCAAACACCCTTGAAGATCCAGTCTGTATTTAGTTTTCTTTAAGAATCAACATGTTTTCTAAGAAACACAGAATGACAAAACAGCGGATGTGTTGCACAAAGCTTTTGTGAAGAAAAAACTTACTCCAGGAGGTGCAGTTTGCAAAACACTATGTTTAGTAGCTATATAATAGTGACATTTTCTGGCAGTTGAACATCGCGTTCCTTCTCAAAGGATCCTAAAGCGTTTTACAAATGCTTTCAACATATGGCCAAGCGTAAAACAGCACCAAAAAGAACTAAGATCCTGCTTGCAACCAGCTCATAAGGTCTGGTGCCCTCTGCTTGGATGCTAGGAGGGGACTGGGCCTGCGCTTTTACGAGGGATTTTCAGACCTGCTGAAGACCACCACACACAAGTCCAGCTCTGCCGTGCTGCTCAGCATTGATAATTGATAATCAGCCTCAAATCAATGGCATACAAGGTCTCAATCAGAATCCAACCCCATGGCACCAAAACCAAACTCCTTTTCCCCTGATAAACCCCTAACAGGAGCCACTTTTCCCACCACAAATGCAGACCTGCTTTTCTGGCACCACCACCTGGGCCCAGTTTGACCGTGCACTAGTGACACTGCCCACAACCAAGCACAGCTCAAATAACAACAGGAATTTAAGTCGCAATCCAGCCAAAAAAAGATGTGCACATGCTCTCCCTAGGGCCCGCTCATGTCCGTAAAGCAAGCACACACTTACGCTCTCCTCACTGATGGATTTCTGTAGGGAAACGTGGAATATAATTGCTCAGTGGGCAGTTTACCATGTCTGCCAAAGTAAACATTTCCAGCTTTCCAGAAGACCAAGATCTTTAACAGTTGCCAGCTGTCAAACTCTGTGTTTTATATCTCATCTAACACATGACAGTTGTAGTAGCACGGTGTCCCCTGGCACTATGTACAGACATTATTTCTGTGCTGGTTTGGGGAAGAAAAAAAAGTGGGGGGTGACGACTTTGTATTCAACATATTTTGCTGGAATCTTCTGGGATTCTTTTTGAAGGTCCCCTGCAAATTTTGGCTCATCTTATATAATTAGAAAATAGTACTGTCATTTGGGCTAATAAAGCCTTTCCTTAACTCATGTTTAAGTCATAACTAGAGGAAGACACTCTCACAGGCATGGACATCTCTCATATTTTAATCCATAGTCAACAGGCAAAAGATGGGGTTGACTCCCCCTAAAAGAGAAGGACACACTGATGTCCAGAGGCAAACCATTTATTCAGCCTCCTGCCTCCCCAGCACCAGAATCAGATTTAGGTAACACCAGACACTGAATTCAGCTCTCCTTGTACTCAGCTTTCACAGTACAATTAAAGAAGCTGAATGGCCTTATTCCTGCTTTTTTGTCATGCATAGTTCTAGATTCTCCCTCCATTTGGGCTATTGAAGAATTGCAAGGCACTGCATTGTCTAAGAGTAACACCCTTGTAAGCTCCAACCACACCGCTTGTTCGCTGGAATTCGCTGAATTTAAATTTATGACCCTCATGCAATAATTAAAATAAGTGAGTATAAGTCTAGCATGCTGAGAAGAGGCAGCAAAACAGCTGTTAGTTATAAACCAGAAAAAAAAAAAAAAAGAAAAAAAAGAAAAAAAAAAGATGCTTTATAAGCCTCATCAGAAACATTCTTCACTCTCTCATATAGACAGGGATAAAATTTACACATTAGGCATTCCCTATTGTGATTTAATCCCTGCCCCACACAACGCATGTTTGATCTTGCAACTTCAAGCTTTAGTAGTTTGTGGGTTCAAGCACTGTATGAAATAAGCAGCAGAGAACCAAAACTCTCTGCACGCCATTCCCGTAACAACACGGGACTTCTTAAACCCACATCTGTTCTGAAAGCCCACAAACCCTTCCCACTTCTCCCAGTCCCACAGAGCTTTCCCATAGTGAGCAAATAAGCCACTGCCTCAGACATTAGCAAAGAGTTCCATAATTAATGTTGCTAACTCAAGGGTTTCTCAGCTGGACGAGGAGCCTGAAGTCCTCAAGGGATGCTGCCAGCAAGATCCTGCAGAATGGGTAAAGGCAGCACCGGGATTTTGTGATGCACCAGGGGGATGAAGCATCACAGCAGCTCCATCACACCACAGCAAGGCTGCACCCATTAAAAAGCAGCTAGAAATCAGGATTATCTGGAGCAGTCGTGATTAATAGCAGTGCGGATTTGGACGGGATATTAAAGCTGGTGCCTCGGGGCTGAAGTACATCTCTAACTATTAAAAACCAGACTGAGAAAAAAAAATGACATGGGAGGAAAATTATCTCCTACTTCCACTACAGGTCCCTGAAGGAGGTTTCTCTGCATCGTGGCTCGCAATCAGATGAAAATCTGGGTGCAAGGCTCAGAGAAAGCTGTCTAGTTTATGCCCACTTTCAAAATCATAGCCCTGTGCTATCATGGGCTGTGAAAACCTAGGTCTGCAAAAAAAAAAAAATGATGTTGGAGAAATAGGGATGTTGGAGAAATCCTTGCTGATCACCCCCCTCCCCAGCATCTATTAAACTTTGATGGCAAGAAATCAGGTGTCAGGGCAGAGAGTCCACACGAGCAGAATTTCATTTTATACAAACATCTCACTTGTGACCTTTTGTATTAGAGCAACAGCATTTCCTGCACAAGCTTAACATAAACTGCTAAACACCACGTTATTTATTCACCATGTAACTGAAGAAAAATGTGCATCTTTTACCTTGAATACTTCCATTGGAAGAGGAAAATTTGCTGCATCAGTAAGGGATTTTTCCAGAGCGCATTTCCACTCGGATACAGTCTTCAGAGAATAGATATCTAAAGCAATGATAACAACAAAAACAAACAAACAAACAAAAAAACACAAGACCAAGAGGTGACTGTTTGAGAATCAAACATTTTTGAAAGACTTCAGTTCCCATGCCATAAGAATGGATAGTCCAAGTGAAATGAGCAGTGTGTATATCCCAAGCTGTACAGCATGGATAAATTGAACACAAAAGCAACTAGCAGGGGCACATCTGAGGAAGATTGTGTTTTATATCCTGGATTAAAACCCAGGAAAATGCACATCCTTTATTTTCTGTTGAGGAAACATGAACCATACTGTCTCATTACTCGAAAGTAACAAAAAACTCCTTTGATTTTTAATTCTCAAAATACCTGATGTTTTCCAGTTTGAGGACCCTCAGGTTTTCAGCCAATATTAATTATATTTGAACAAAAACAGAAATATCTTTAACAATGCTTCTGTTCATTGGAAAAGTCATTTTTCAAGTGCAGGTTTGTTTTTGTTTTGTTTTGTTTTGTTTTTCTTGTGTTCTTTTTTTTTTTTTGGAGGGGGAGGAACATTTCAGCTAGGTCACTACACCGACACATTTCTTGGTGCCACACTGAAAGCAGAGCACTGCATCAACTCAAAGACATACACTTATGAATTCTAATCATTACACTTTTAGGCAACGTCTTTGTGCAAATTCACATTGCCTTCAGTGAGTTTCCTTAAATAGGTTTAATATTATTAAATCATTGTATTAGCAAGCCCTTTATGGTTCAGTGCAGTGAAATGCCTATGAATCATCAAAGGAAACAATGTAGGAAACAATACTATGATGAAGAACATTATATTGGATTTACTTCTGCCCTAGAAAACATATTGTTATCCCGCACATAACAAGTTATTGCAGAACATTCATATCAAGGTCTTAAAGAGACAAGATAGGTAGACAGATTGCAGCAATTATTAAAATGGAAATGAACATTTACTTATTAATAACTTGAACCTTGATACAGAGTGAATAGGGTGAAGCTTTGCTTTTGTCAGTTTGGCTTCACACACAGCACAGTTCAATTTGGTCCAATTTGCATTTAAATTCTGTACATCTAGTAACCATATATATTTGCTGGCTAGCAAAGATTTACTGTTGTATTTTACAATCCTGAAGGAGGAAATAAAAGATATATATATATATTTATATATATATAAAGGAACTGGCAAGCACTGTTTCCACCTAGCACTGTCAGTAGAAGAGAATTTTATGCTCTGATCTCAATAGATTTAAGACCTTATCAAAACAGGATTTGCAGAATCACTCACTGGAAGTGGATGTATTTATTCTTCCACTATATCAAACCTTGCTACTTCAGACAGACATCAAGGATATGCATATGAATTTAAATACGCTTAAAAGGAAATGTTAACCTTTCGCGGCTGTACTTTAAATTTCTCAACTGTTTGGTTGTTAATGGGAATATATTTTTCAAGTCTTTGTTTACAGCACATGCAACCATCACAAGTATTAAGAAATGTGCTCTTTATCTAATTGTTCATTACTTTATAGTCCTGTTTCACCAGTTCTCCCTTACTTGTAGGTGACTTGATTGGGTTGACATGCTGGGAGGGAAATGACCCACCTTGTTTCTCCCTTTTTAGCTTAAATGATGCCGAATAGGGAAATATTACGATTTTGCCTCAACTTGTATATTCAACCAACAAAAAGTCCAAGTTCTGCAAAACCCATCTGGATGCTTGCCAGACAGAGCAAGCTGGTAACAGACCTTCATTTTTCACCGTGGGGGCAGTGAAGCATGGGAGAGAAGAAGAAAGTGGCATTTTGGGCGACTCTCTCATGCGCAACCATCAGAGAAAAGAGGCAGCAACTTCTTTGGTGTCAACAGGCTTTGAAAGATTAAGACAACCTCAATCGTTTCAATAACCAGCAAGCAGCATCATGTGCACGTTTCATTAGACAGTGGCAGTTAGCTTATGCTGGCAAGTTTATGGACACTAAATCGCACGGTTAAAGGAGCATAAAGCATTTTGTTTAAGTGATAGTGTTGCAGGTAATTGAGCAGAGTGTACTGTGTCAATTTGTATTTAGGTTAACAAGGAGAAAGCAATTAAAATGACTGCCAATTTGTCTTTAAATAGGAAGCAACATAAAATGAGACGATCTCTTCCTGCATAAACAGTTCGGGCAAGACCATCGGTGGCTCTGTGTCAAGTGGTCTCTGCCAAATTGAGCTAGCAAGGAGGCTTGTCTTGGATTCAGATTTACATCTGAAGGAAAAAATATGGTAGGATCCCTTTGCCACAAGTCAAAAAGAGCTTTCAGGATATATAAAGCCACCGCAAGTTCCTATTTGGGGGATGCAGCAATGATGCTATTTCCTAAGGACTCTCTTGCACATTTTTGTACAATGAGTGGGTACAGAGATTGTATGGTCTCAGAAAAGAGACCTCTCCACACAGAATCGGTGTAGACATTTGGATCCATGGGATTTCTTTTATAGAAGGATGCCCTGCATCTTGAAAATCTGGCCTCAGACTGCTGAGCAAAATGAAACTCAACTTGTCAGGCACCAGCGGTGGATCAACACAGCAAAACCACAGCCCAGACAGATTGGGAAATAAAGCTAATGGTGCATACACAGCATCCAAGTCAGGGGTGGGTAAGGCACTGTAACAACCTGCAGAGCTGATCTGCAGCTGAACAGCCTCACTTGATAGCAACTGAGCTCTCAGCTTGATTTGGGAGGAGTCCTATGCCCTCAGCATCTCTTCGTAGGAGATGCATAGTGGCTTTTATACACTCTAAGGCTGTTCCAGTTTTCCATCCAGCAGACATCTCAACTGGCTTCAGAGGTTCAAAAGGTAGACAATGAGCTTTGTGCTCATTCCTCTTGACCCTGTGAGTGGAGAACATAGGCTTATGAAGATGTTATTTGTTCTGATCTGTGCCAGGCCTGTCTTAGGCACTCCCTTTCTCTCCACTGATCATAACGAGAAAGCAATAGCTCACAGTGAAGCATCATTTCAAGGCCTACATGATGGTAAGCAAATCTAGTAAGTAAAGGTAAGTAAGATAAGTAGAAAGACCAAAATATTAACCACAGATTATTTTCCTAAGAAGTTCCATAATGGTGATGCCAAAGGTCTTTGTAGTCCAAACACTGTTTACTACAGAAGTCAGGAAGGAGGTAAGCAGACAGGGACATGTCCCTGGCACACTGTCCTGGTCTGGCATCCTTATGAAATCACATCCTGTGACAAGACTGTGGTTTAGTAGCTTCATTCCTGAGTTTCTTCAGTGTTTTCTGCTGCCCAGCACCTTACCCTGACAATTCACTACTGCTCACCTATCTCCTTTCTATAACTGATAAGCTTTAGTCATCTGTTACACTTTATGAACACATTGATGTTATGTGGACTTCAAATAGCCAATATTGTCCACTATGTCAGAAGTGGAACAGCCAGCATTCCGGCCTCCAGAGCTCCACTGGATTCCCATTTCTGACTGGTTACTCCTTGGAGTGCAGAGCCTGACAACTGGGTAGCCCAGAGGGGCAGGGGTAGGTCAAAAAAGATCCTTGGGGGAAGTCTTCAGGAGGACAGGACTCATAAGAAAATTGAAAGGTTTAAATCCAAAGGGTTTCATCTCAGCAAACACCAGTGAGACACTCCCTAGATATGTAATTACCTATTTAAGTAAATGGAAGGTAGGAAGAAGATTTGGACTGTTGAATTCAGTAATAATAATGCTCACTAAAAGGTGAATGGCTAGAGAAATGCCAAGGAGAAGAAAAAGATGCTAGAATGAAAACATGAAATACATTTAAAAAGCGGTTAAATCAAGGAGAGGGAAGAGAAAACATAAATAATTTCATTAAATAAAGAGACCAATAACAGGTTTAGAGATAACACAACTGGTAAGACAGGGAAAAAAAAAAAAAAGGAAATAAGTAGAGAAGGAAACAATTGGATAAAAGGAAGAGTAAAAGGAGAATGGAATAGACAAAGAGGAAACACATATATAGTTGTGGCTATTTCTATATTGATTCATCAAACCTACACAGGCTAAGAGGGTTCAGAGACAATCAATGAAAAGGTGTTTCTCTGTAACACGAATTCTCTGTGAAATAACAGAGTGAGTGATATTCATGCTTTCCAACATTCACATCTGATTTAGAAGTGATGGGGCCATTGGTACCCACCTATCTTTGAAGAAAAACACACAGCACTTCCAAAAGCATTCAAGACCCCAAATTAGACCCAAGACCCATGGAAATTTGTAAGCAGCACAATTGTACGTATCAGGGTAACCACTCTGAATCAGGTGCAATGGAGAAAAGCCACATCAGAAATATCTGTCCGAAGAAAAGCTTCCTTTCTTCCATCATTAGACACCCACAGGAAAGCTTTGCGTAAGGCAAAAGCAAATTGAGGCACAGACCTGGCCAATCTGCCCAACTACACAGGAAAACGTGGAGGTCTGCTATGCCAAAAGCTATGCATTAACCAAGAAAGTACTTCATCTATCAGAGTCCAATTCAGTGGTGCAGACAGCTAGCGAATGTGGGCCATGCTCCACAAGACTTGGCAAACAGCTTTGCGGCCCCGAGTATAAGCTACAGCCCTATGAAAAATCCATCGGCTGCACATTTTGTGCCCCAAAGCAGACCACACATTCAGCAGGCAAGACTGCCACAGTTTAACCAGATCACTAACTCCACGAGAACTCTCTTAATAAAACATCTTAACTTGACCAACTCAACCAACTCAAGCTACACCAACTCAGCCACACACCCTGTGTAGAGAGAAACCTAATTTCCCAGAAGCTTTCACAAAGTTTTGACCAATACTGTTAGTGTAATGCAAAAAATCCACCATTCCAGTCTTCTGACACAGTAATGTGGTACAACCTGGATGGAATCACATCTCCATACCCAGCTCCAGACCGTGACAGTAAACACCTCTGAAATAATTTCTCCAGGAGGCCACAGCCTCTGCTGTGGTCCCAAGGCCTTAACTGACTTGTTAAACCTTAGTGATCCTTAGTTTTTCCCTACACCCTCAGCTTTGCACTCCTTGCCCCACCAGGTTGATCCTGCTCCCTTTGCTCAACCCAGTCCCAGTATTTCAAGTCTGATTACAGCTGACCCCAAGGCCTACTCTTGGCCAGCCTCCTGGCCTAGCCTGCATGTGCCCGACTCTGTCCTATGAATTTGTCCTTGGATTTGTTACTTCTGACTCCACACTCACTTAACTGCAATCCCTATCTCCCTCCTTCCAACCTGCTTTGGACTAAACTCAGCTCTGAAGACCTTCTCCAAGTTGCAGTCTCCTGATATTCACTCTGGTCCATCACATTTGCAAAGACATTGCTCCCTTGGAGAAAATTCAAGACAAAACCTGTGGTCTTGTAAGCATTAAAGATGCCATCTACCACTTAAAGGAATAATTCCTTACTTTCTAGCAACACACACCCCATAACTCCTTGATGGGCAGATTAACATAGACAGGCAGATAAACCCAGCCCCATTCCACTGCACTTTCTGAGCTGGTTACACACAAGGCAAGTCTCGCTTGGCAGCTGTACAACCATGTTACAGCAGAATATGAAAGACATGCTTTAAAGGGACCATAAAGATCTCAAAGCATTTTCTCCAGCCCCAAGAAATTCCATGGAAATCCACTACTAACCAAGAGAAAAGTGTGCATGACCATATAATGAACAATTGGCAAGAGGTCTCTGGGTGAAGGGAAAGCAAATGCTGAGAGGTGTCATCTAGAACTTGATTTGGCGAGCAGAAGGCTTCTTCTAGAAGCTGGATCCAATGATCCATGTGGGTCCATTTCAGCTCAGCATATTCTGATTCTATAAATCCTAGTATCCTCCTCTAGGATCACCTCCTCTAGGATTCACTCCTTTCTAAACAGAGTTTATTAAATATATTTAATACAGTGTACGTGACCCACTTTAAACCCAAATCAGATGGCTCTCACATGTAATCCGTATTCCAGTTTAAAACTACCATCAAAGCAACATGAATGCTGGAGAAAAAGAAATGGGTTGCACAAGTATCTTAAAGCATCACTAAATAACTCAAAATAAGACAGTATTTTGTGAAGGCTTTTTACCTGCAGGTGGGTCCATTCTGTATTTATTCTCTTGACACCAACCGACTGGTCGAAGTCTGCAATCCAAGTAAAACAACCACTGGTCATAGGATTCAGTCTCCTCCAATCCCACATAGCGAAGGCGTAATCTTCCTCCAACATTTTCAACCACACTAACTATCCAGTACTGAAAGGGATTCTGGGAATCCTGCAGCTCTATTAAGGAATCAACTGTAATGAGGTCTACAGGGTTTTTTCCTCGCAGAGGCTGTTTGAATAGAAGCAAAACTCCTTATTTTAAACTTTATTTGAAGACTTCTCAAGGAAACAGATGACAGCAGAAGATTATTTTTGTTTTTCACACCATCATCCAAGCGATCAGCAAACAGTCTGTTCTTCTTCTATTTTACCCAATGTCTTCCAAGTGCAAATTCAGAAGTAAAACAGAAAACAACAGTTGTGCTAATTTCTCAACCGACATCATCAACAACAACAACAAAAAAAGAATAATAAAAGGTGGAACAGCTCGTAAGGCACATCCACTTAGGATGCTCCTGAACAACTCAAAGCCCAGTTATACTGGCGGATTTCAAACCAAATTCTCATCGGTTGCAGCTGGTAAGAACCAGTCACCAGATTGGACACCAGTGTTTACCTAAAAGGCAACTACTTTGGGCATGACACTGAAATTCCCTTCTGTACGCTGATCTTTCCCACCAAATAAATAAATAAATAAATAAATAAAATTATCTTGCTCCTACTGACGTGCAGAGCAAATTATTCCCACTGTGATGGATGCAGGAGTCTACGGTGGTTACTCCAAAGCTCTTGAAAGCCAATAGCAGTTTCCCACCACATCAATTGGCCTTGGGATCACAGCCCAGCCACACAGGATTTCATGGGTCAAGCCAATGAATGAGGTCATATGCTCACACACAGTATTTCCTGTGATCCCATTCTTTCAACCGTTTATACGTGTGCTTAATGTTACACCTGCAAAGCTGCGAACCACAGCCATTAAAAAACTGTAAGACGTTTTCCAGGACAATACCTTTGGGACTCACTGATTTGTGACTGTGAGCATCTCTGTTGTCAAGCTTTTCACCACTAATGTATGCGTTAGAGCACTTTTTTTTTTTTAATCTGTTTTCTTTTCTTTTTCTTTTTTTTTTTAATGCAAGTTCTAATTTTTATTTGATTTCTCACTTCTAGGGTTTTAAGAACAGCACTAAAAATCACTCTAAGAATTGGAAATATTGCTCCTCAAAGGAGATGCTAAGCATAGGCACAATATATGAAAAAATGGGGCAATCTTTTTGCTTCTATATGCATTTCTTCCACTTCTACTTAATTAAATAATAACGTACTTTGACCGTTGTTTTTTAAATATTAATTCTGTAAATCAGAGTCAGCCCAAAACAGTACCTTATAGGGGTGCCTAGAAAAAAAGGAGGAGAAAGCCTTATTTTTTCAAAAAGCTCTCTCACAGAATGTTTAAAACATTCAGAAGTTTGAAATGCAACCAAATTTGGCTACATCTCTCTTAAGCCAAAATGCAGGCAAGAGAACAAGAATTTGGTTAAAAAAATAGTAAAATTAACTAAAACTTTATCACGTGTACAGTTTTAACCAGACCTGTGAATAATAGATATTTCTCAAAACAATATATCTACCATTATAAGCAACTCCTCTACTGTATAAGCTACAGGTTCCTACACAATCTCTTCAAATATTATTTCATAGCACAATGCAGTCTCAAAAATTAATAATATAATAGAAATGGCTTTAATGTTATTTTTTTTCTCTTCAACTACTTCGTTGCAATAAAAGATGCTTTAATATCAAACAATGGTATAATGATTTAGCTTATTATTATAAATCCCTAGCCACTAAAAAGCATCTATTGCTTCTCTGATTTGTGTGCTAGATTCTAAGCCAGTGGGTTGTCACTTACCCCTGAGAACACAATGGCTAAAATTAATAATTGGTTTGCTTGAAATATTAACATTTACCACAACGCAAGAACTCTAAATGCATAGCTAGCATGTTAAAAATAATAAATAAATAAATAAAAGTATCACTGCATATTGATTTAACAGTACAAGAACAATCTGCAGCACTCACAAACAGCAAGTCTGTCGACAGGGGGTTACATACATTGCACGACACAGACAGCACTAAGCATGTACATGTTTATTGCATGAAACACCAGGAAAGGGTTAGATACTGTTTCAAACCAAAGCACTGTTTTCTCTCTCTGCATTTCTACCTTGGGCTGCCTATTTTCTCTGCCTGAAGAAAGGGAATGGAGAGGTTTGCACTGGTGTTGTCCCATATGCCAGGGATGGGTGCAGACCACCACTGACTTTTCATATATGCTGCCTGGGAATGGTCCAGAAACAGGGATGCAGCAGCCCTGAGAATGTGCATTATTTTGGGTTTGCAACAGCTGTCAGGCTCACAGATAGGGAAGGGGGGGGGAGGAAATCCCTGACAATACACTATTTTTCCTGCCAGGGACCTCATACTGCATGGGTGCATGGAAATAGGACACAGCTGTGGTTGGGTTCAGTGACCAGGGACAAAATTATTAAAAATGGTGCCTGGAGGCACTCTTGCTTCCAAAAAGCCAACATGAGTGTTTACGCAAAGCTAAACAACTTGTTTGCTTTCACTCCCAGCCTAAACTCAGAGGGGCAGAGAGAATCATCCCCTGCAGGACAGGCTGCCTGCTCTCCAAATGCCCACGCAGCATCCAAACAAGAGCAAGGCACGTCCCAGTGGAAAAGGTGCTTCGCTCCCACAGTTTCAAGCTGAAGCTATGAGATATTTGTCAAGTATGGCAAGGCAAGCTCAAGCTCCCTGCAAATGCCCTGGACAGGCTGGGTTCCTGGCCTCTGGGTGCATCCAAAAGAACAGACAATTCTTCTCTCCCATCTACCAATGACCAAGGTCATCTCACCCAACTTCCCTGCTAAATCTGACTGCTGCTTTTAGATGCATGGAATGTCCTTGAGGGAGCTGTTTACACACACCTATAATTCTGGCAGTGCTTTCCATCAACCTACTGACCCCCCCCCTCTCCAACCTGTGTCCTGGTGGAGTTTGCTGGAGCTGATGGGGCACTGAAGTCCTCCTTCCTACAGACACCCTCAATGTTCTCCTTCACCACCCAGACTTCTACGAGTACCCAAATTTCTAAGACCAAGCCTCCAGCCTGAAGGCCAATAAACTACCACATGACTCAGTCAGAAGCAGAGCCAGCAGAATCAAGGCAACATCACCCTGGACTTTTGACCCGCACAGGATGAGGCCCGCTGCCAGCACACAGACGCTGCAAGCACACAGCCCTACACGTGGTGAGCACAAACACCGGTGAGCATGCACATTGCAAGACAGTATCAGATAGAAACTGCAATCTAATACATACGCCTTCCAGTAAATTTGCAGGTGCAGTCCTGGCGCCGGTCAAATCGTGTATAAGAAACTCCGTCCAGTCCACGTATTTCTCTTTAATTGCTGCAGAGGGTGAGGGAAGAAAAGAAATGCTCAGCACCGCAGGCTGCAATGTATTTCCCACGTGTATTTCAGAGAGAGCTCCCCAGGACTTAACAGCTTTGAAGTTTCAGGTACGATTGCAGTCCAGACCAGGAGAAAAGCTGATACATTGCCTAGTTGCTTGGGCAACACACATCATGTGATTCCATCTCCAAAATAAGGGAAGGGGCTGTTTGGCTGCACCCACTGACATGATTTACAACAGCAGTGGCTTATCATCTCCATCTTTCCCATTCAAAATTGGCCACTGCTTGGGTAACCACTTGTTTGCTGCTTACCAGGTAGGCTCAGATATCATTCATAACATCTCTTTGTATCTTTACTACTGACCACAGAGAAAAAATGTGCTAACTTTTAAGTTCCTTGACTTAAAACAAGGTCAACAGAAACTACAGATGCTTTCCCCCCAGAAACAGAACACTCAACCCTGAGATTATTCTATGTCAGCTACTGAGTCAATACATTTGCAAGAAGACTTAATTTATCAGGAATTTTTATTCATTGATCATGAATTTTTATTTCATTATTTAAAAAAAAAAAAAAAGATATTTTGAACTATACACTGTATGCCTGTGTTACTTTTGGGATCTGTATCAACCGTTTCATAAGATTTAAACTAAAACATATAAGTATACATATACAATGTGTAAGTATATGTATAAAATGTATAAAATATATAATCTTATTCATAAGAATTTAACTAAAATGTATAAATGCTGCCTCTGGGATTCAAACTTCGGTTCAATTCTTGTTGAAATTAGTGCAGGTTGGGCACCAAATGTATATTCAGCAAATCTCAACTCCAGAGATTCAGAGGCCTCTTTGAATTAATTGTGCATTTGCAGTTGGAAACCCAGAAGCCAGACTTTAATTTCACCTGCCTCTAAATGGGAATTAGATTACATCAGAAACATTTTTATCTCCCCAAAAAATCTTACTTACATGTTAGACAACCCACAGTGATATAGTTATGTTGTTAATCATACCAACACCTATAGAAGGGAAAAATCATAAGCATTTGAAAATTAAACCATTTCTTCTGAACAAACTGCACACACAGTTTAAAGATTATTAATCCATAGGGGAGTCCAGGAAGGGCTGTAAGTAACTAGCAAAGGTCCTAAATAATTACATTATAGCAACCCTTCTGTTTTGCTCAGAAGAAGCCAAGTCCTCTGCTTCACACTTCGGGGAAATACAATGTTAGTCAACCAAGACTGAAACACTTCACGCTTTCTGAGAAGCTGTAGTTGCAGTATTTAGAGCAGGAGGGTTTCAGATTAGAAACACGACCAGCAGAGGCGGTGAACTGTGGGCACAAATCTTGCCGCTATTACCTGCAGACAAGGAGGCCAAACCTGAGCCTTCTCAAAATGCATTAAGTGGCCTGCTGCCGAACAACGAATAAAGAAACACAAATTGGTTTGAACCTGTTCAAGACCAAGCACCTTTCAAACCATAGCCACACAATTCCGATAAAACAGCATAGCAGGGCCCTAAATAAGGCAAAAATAAACTTGGCACCATGAGTTAATATTGTTCTATATGATCCCCATTCTTCGTCCTCACTGAATGACGTGAATGGCATCAAGGAAGGACCAAAGCTGGAATACATAGAGTTATTTTTCACAGGCCTCCCAGTTGCTTGTAGAAATGGGTAAAAGGCAGCAAAGACCTGTAACAGCTCTGTTTGACAGGAAGGGCTACAAGGGCCTCGGGATGGTTTCAGAGGAGGAGACAAAAGTGGCCTGTAGATGTCACGATGGATCTTTTTACATGGGTTTGTCTCTCATGCCAATGATAATGCTTCAGCTCTTCTTTTTAAAAGGAAAATAAACACCAACCTGGTGTCAAATGGATACGGGAAACCGGAGACCCTACCTGAAGCATGGGTAGGAGTAGAAGTGTTTCAAACAACTCCCCTCCACAGGAAGCCCCAGTATTCCATCAAAAATTGTTCCTTTAGACCCATCTCCTGGTGAGCAGCTTAGCTCAAGGTAGCTCATTCTCTTCGACTGACTATTTCAAAGAAAAAGGTAATTTACTCTCTTCTTTGAATACATGCAACTCATTTCCTTTGGTTACAGGCATGTACCTGGTGGGGGGGGGTGGGATAAGGAGACATGTTTCTCCTCTTGTCCAAAGACAGAAGGTAGATGACAGCCTGGGCATGAAGCCCAGGAAGGGTAAGATGTACAGGCTAAAATGGATGGATGGAGAAATGGGCTAATGATCCTGCAAATCCATGAGTGGGGCCACACCAAGTACATGCTCTGAGGGGTTTATGGATCTACACAGCCCACAGTGAGGAATAGCTTTTATTTCCTCGGTGCTACAAAGGGGTACACAGGTTGAACAGAGGTTTGGTATCAAGCTGATGAAATGCTCTGTATTTGTGCACCCAGCACAGGGGTGTTCATCAGAGGTACTCAAAGCTTCAGTGCCTAGCAAATATTCATTGCCTTTGGGGGAGAAAAAAAAGGTTAATCCCAAACTGCCTGGCAGGAAATATTCCAGCTATTTCCTTCAACAAGCTCAGTCAAGAGAGCCTGAAATTAGCAAGAGCTTCATCTCAAGAAATCAAAGCACAGCAGAATTCAGAACTGGCAATACTCATGCTGACCTTTGCATAGCTCCTACAAATCCCACCTCCCTTTCCAGACCATGGGACCAGTGTTTTTGTCTGATAATTACATGATGTTGGCAAAAAACTGGGAAAAACATACTCATGCTTGGGCTTACTTCCAGTTTGGGCACTTGGCACACTTGGACTTTGGCCCAAACTCAATTTATACCCTAAATACTTTATGCAATCCATACAGATGGCCATGGAAAAAGGTAGAATCCATGCTCAGCAGACTTTACATTAGATCCCATTTCTGAGTTGTGCTCTTTCCTCTAAAGTCAGTTCTCCCAATGTCACTCGAACCATATGTTCAGTTTATAGATCTAAACAACCTTGCAAGTGCACTTAAATGTATTTAAAATCAGCGAACTTTAAAATGCTGGTCTCAAGCTTCTATAAAATAACACTTAAGGTAGCCTGGAACTGCTCTAAGTCTTAGGCAGCACCGATTTTGCATGATTTCCGGGAGATTTATCACCTTTGAATTATTTAAGAGGAAGGAATAGCCTGCAAAGAAATGGTTTATACAAGGTGCTTTCTCTCTCAATACTCCTGTTGCATACACCTCATCAGTTCCTGTCCACCTACACTGAGATAATAAACAAGCTTAATCCTGGCATCAGTGAGAAGATAGTAATTGCTGTAATGAATGAGACTGGAGCCCTTCTAATTCAGACTTCTGCCTCTCGCTGCAAACAATGCTGGGTGCATCAGGGAAGGGTGCAAACTGAACTTCATGTTGGCTCATACCCACGAAGTTGTCAGCCAATTTTTTAATGCCAGAGCTCCGTTACTAAGGAATGACAAATGTGATAAAAAGAACACGGTTCAAACTTTCAAAACTGGCAGGAGGAAAGAAAAATAGTCAGGATTTTCAAAGTTGACAACAGATTTCATAAGCCTCCATTTCCAGATGCCCAATTTCAGATGTCTTAACGGTGCCGGATTCACAGATCTTGCTGTCTGTCAGTCAGACCCCTTTTCAATGCTTCTCAAAAAAATACTTTGTTCTGCCTAAACGACTTGAACCTCAAAGCTTTTGGACACCTAAATAAAACGGGGCCTCTGTCAACATTTAAATCTGGATTACGGGCTTCCAAAGTCCAAAAGTGACAAGCTGATCTTTGCTTTCAGACTGAACGGCCTCAGCTGAAAAAACATATTGCTCCCAGTTTCTAATCGGTTTCAGAATCATCCTCCCCAAACAAATCCAGCATGTTTTGCTTCATTTTAATCTTCTTTTGCAGTGCAGATAAAGGGACTCTGGAAACCTCTGGGAGAGAAGAGATTGCACTGGAAGTTTTAGGAACAGGGATTTGCACTCTTTTCCATGCCCGTGGAGCATGATCAGGATTCTCAGTACTGCAGTGCAAATAATTACAGCGCAAATATTAATTTTTAGTAGTAATGAAGTGAATCTGAATCATCACAAGATCTGCAAAAAGCCTTTGAGGACCAAGCAAAATGTTAAACAAGAATATTCGAACAAAGGAAAATCTGCTGGGTAAACGAGAATAGCTGGCAGCGTAATGCATGGGTGCCCATGCATCCATCCTGAGCATCTATCAGGAAATGCTGGTGCTTCTCTGGTGTATCTGACCCAGCACCTGTGAACCGAAGTGCCGATTTTACATCACTAATTCACATTTTGGCTTATAAGCTAGAGGAAGAACACCCAACTGAACCTCTCCTATTGCAGACGTGCTGTAGTAATTCTGTTTTTAGAGGCCACCTTCCAAAGGCTGACCATTTGGTAGGACAGGAAGGTGGAGAGAACACAGGACCCTGTTCACAGGGACCTGAGCTCCTGTAGTACTGTTACTTGCAAAACAATTTTTCTGTCTTTAGGTAACTACGGTGAGTCAGGAGCTGGGTTCATAGGGTTCAGATAGCTGTGTCTTCTCTCCCTTTCAATGGCTCCATCATGACCTCTGTGGGACTGTCACCCATACCACAACAGGGCTCCAAATAGGCCCAATGACAAGGAAATATTTGAGATATCCTAATTACATTGGGACTACTTTGAAAATGACCCTGGGGGCCAACCACCATCAAATGTATCACAGGGAAACGATTCAGAAGAAGTGGAAATGTGGCAGCAGAAAAAAGACTAAGTGCCCCCACTGATGCAAAGGCTCCAGTGTGAGCTGAACTGAATGATTAGACACTAAATAATCCAGAGAGGAGCCAGGCATTAGCAGAGCTCTCAGCATGGGAAAAGTGATGTTCTGAAAATGCCAGCACCTCCTAACCACTTTTCTTTCCAGGTTCAGCAGGCAACACCACATCTTGTTGGGAGCCACAGCTTGGGTACGCAGATGTGCTGATTTCCTTT